CTTTTTAACAGGCGGATATTTATTTCAGGTAATTTATTTTAAATTCTGAGATGCAGGTTGTGATGACATGATTTTTAATGTGTCAATTTAAACAAAGTTCATTCACTTATATCTTAGTGCTGTTAAATAACATTTAAAACAAATATCTATTTGGGTAAAGTCAAATATTGTAAAATCAATATGGCCTCCAAAATGGCCGCTTGTTCATGAGCAGACAACCATAATGACCTATGATTACATTTGGCACAAATATTGTTATTCCTTAAATCAATTAGTACACTGCTGAAAACATCTCATTTCTTTAGCACAAATATATAAATAGAAAATATGATCAAAAGCATAATATTTCATCACTACAGTTGGCTGGAGTTTTCAGTAAAAAAGATGTCACATGTTATTAAATCAATATTTACAAAATAGTGATGTGTCCCAAGCCAAACAGGTTGCCTGATCTTCTAAAATGGTTTTGCTGGCTGTTCCATGATGCTTATAGGGTGTAAGATCTATGTCTAATATGGGAAATTGCTGTCTGACCTTCTTGGTGTGAGATATTTCGTAATCTTCTTTGTGCTGTCTACTGAGAAATGAGGGAATGAACTTGCTGTGTCCTCTGCTTTCCTAACAAGCAAACCCTACCAACATCAGATGGAAACATTTGACATTAATTTGCCATTTATTTGATTTTGAATCGATTCCTGACAGAATATCTGTCAAATCCTTTCACTCATTTCATAAGCCCATCCGAACTGAAAGTTCATGTGAACTTAATAATGTCATGGTGCATATTCATACCACTGTCCATCCATCCTTCGATCAATCCATCCATCCATCCACCTACTAGTACTGAAGGCTGATGAAGCTGAGATTTGGATGGATGATCTCAGAAATGGCACCACTTAAAAGTTCTCACAAAGTTTCAATAATATTATAAACATGGATGCCACATTCCAATGAAGATCTGGTTTAGAATTGGTCTTCAGCAACCCATGCTTGTTGTAAGAAGCGACAATCGGGATTGGGTGGCCAGGCTCACTGATCTGCTTATAGACTAGTGCCTAGTCTCTGAATACCAGTATATATAATTTATACAAGGAGGAACCTGAGGAAATCTAGACATGCTTCATTTGGGACTTTAACATTGCATAAAGGAACATTTTGCATTTTGGGGACTGTGAGACTGGCTAACTTGGTTGTTATCATTTCCTCATAATGTCAATCACTGGATTGTCTGGTCCAGAATCATGTATTTACCGACAACTGTCATATTCCTGGAATGTTGACTGAATACTGAGTATAGAAAAACAAAACAAACAAAAGCAAAACAAAACAAATCATGTCACATATGCAGTTTTGACAACTTTATATCGAATGACAGTATCTTACTGAAGAGCAGATATAATTTCTTCCAGTACATAACCTCTGTGACATCACAGCCATAAATCCAGATTTTTTAATAATTTTTTTATTGGAGATATTTATATAGCGCACATATCGTATTATCAATCTCAACTCCCTGGGGAGTATACAATTCTTGCTGCCACTAGGCGAACCGAGTTATTGTGGCTTTCTCATCCTAACGAAGTACCCATTCACAGCTGGGTGGACTCGGACACATAGTCAGAGTACTTTGTCCAAGTTCACTACACGTTGCTGTACCCGCAACTAGGTGTTTGGACGTAGTCATGTGGCCACCATCTGGTCATATACCAAAGGATTCGTGGGTTCTTTTAAGTGCACATGGTTGTGTACTGTACACTAGCGGTTGTGACAACACGGAAAGAGTTTGCACACAAACTTGACTCTAAGGCTTTTACACCCAGTCACAGGTGGGCTCGATCCCGGCACCTCAACCTAGCTGGATCAGTAGCCTGACACCTTAGCCAGCTCGCCCACCTTGATCACATAGGAGAGAGCAAATTGGTACTCGACCCAAAGACACCAGCATTTCACTGTAAATAATGTACTGTGGCATCTACAAATAGAATAATTCAGAATTGTCACCAAAGAAATGCAACCGAGACTGAATGAGACAAATAAACCTTGTTTGAATCACTGAAACCAATTCAAATGTATTATATTAGATTTAACTGATGTATCTATTTCGAAAAGAACTCCAATAAAGGTTCAGGCTGCTCTGTCAGATATTTGTTCTGCCAGTAAGTTTTGATTCAAACATGGTCACATCCTTCCATAAAAATATACAAAGCTTCATGAAGCATAACATGTTCCAATGGCAACAGACCGCTTCTGTGGTGTAGTGGTTAGAGCATCCCCCAGAGAGCAGAAAGTCGCGGGTTCGATTCCCGGTCGCATCATACCAAAAGACGTTAAAAATGGTACTTGTTGGTCCCCCGCCTGGTGCTTGGATTTAATGGGTACAACAAGGCCTGGTCTGGTCGGAGTCAGTATAATGTGTCTGAGTGGGGTATTCATGTTTAACTGCGGCATGGTATCTCAATGAGCTAGCACTATAAAACCAGCATAAATTTGGGCTAGTACAAGCAGCCACACATACACATGCATGCACGTCATCACATGAGCGAAATATTCTTAAGTGCAATGTTAAACCCCATTTCACCTCACCTCACCTCCAATGGCAACATGGGATACTGTTTGTATGCAACCTCCAAACAGCCAAACACTCACAATCAGGGCCCACTCTCGGAATATCCGTATCAAATGTAATGCATTACAATTCTATGATCATGTCAAGTTGAGTTTTTGTAATTGATCCAAGTTTTTATGAAGCTGTTTGGACAGGAAAAACACCTGCCTGACTATGAATGATAGATCATGTATCTCACCAATGTCAGTTTGTCCTGCAAACTTTGGCATGAGATGATATTACATATGCCCTCAAAGATCATCTGTGATTGGGCATGAGAATCAGATGTGGAGAGTGATTAAGAAAGTAGTTGTTTGCATGTTGTCTGATAGATCAGTTTGTACCGAACCTCTGACTACTTCATAGAAGTAATCAGGGGGATATCACCCCAGTTCGAGGGCACTCCTGATTAAGAAATCTTTTTGTGGTTTTTGTTTCTAGTGGCTAATCTTCTCATGCAACGTTACAAACAATTTATTGCCACACTTACTAATCTGTTAATGTGCCCAAACTGCTTATTTTTGTCAAAAACAAAAAACCCTTCATTGGAAACTGTTTGGAATGAAAAATAGAGAAGGAAGACTGGCATATTTATGTGAGCTGAGGATTGGGTGTTTGATTCATAGCAGCAGATGCATGTATCATGTTCCTTGCAAGGCAATGTGATACGTATCCTTTGTTTTATGAGCCTTGTTGTACTGTAAGTAAGGAATTGTTTTGCAAGTCAGTAAGGAATCCTGGTGATGAATGTCTTCAGTATCAAGAGGGACTGAAAATGTTTTCGTATTCGGTCAGTCATTTTCAAGGTTTAGACACCAGTTCAAACATTTCAATGTATAAATGAGCTCATATTTGTAGAAAATCAATGAAAATGGATCATGATTATAATAACTCTTCAACATGTTAAATAGGAATAGTTGATGCTGAAATGCAACAATAGTATAAATGAACTAATATCTCATACCTCTTCATGTTGTTCCATGTCCAGTGATGTACTTCAGTGTCCTTCCATGTCCCTCCATATCATTCAGTGTTCTGCCGTGTCCCTCCATGACCTTCCATGTCCTTTAGTGTCCTTCAGTGTCCTTCTGTGTCCCTCCATGCCCTTCTATGACCTTCCATGTCCCTCTATGTCCTTCAGTGTCCTGTGTCCCTCCATGTCCTTCAGTGTTCTTCTGTGTCCGGGGCGGTGGGGTAGCCTAGTGGTTAAAGCGTTGGCTCGTCACGCCGAAGGCCCGGGTTCGATTCCCCACATGGGCACAATGTGTTAAGCCCATTTCTGGTGTCCCCCGCCGTGATATTGCTGGAATATTGCTAAAAGCGGTGTAAAACTAAACTCAGTCAGTCAGTCTTCTGTGTCCCTCTATGCCCTTCAGTGTTCTTCTATGTCCTTCCATGCCCTTCAGTGTCCCTCCATGTCCCTCAATGTCCTTCAGTTTTCTTCCATGACCTTCCATGTCCTTCAGTGTCCCTTCATGTCCTTCAGTGTCCTTCTGTGTCCCTCCATGACCTTCCATGTCCTTCATTGTTCTTCTGTGTCCCTCCATGTCCTTCAGTGTCCTTCCGTGTCCTTCCATGACCTTCCATGTCCTTCATTGTTCTTCTGTGTCCTTCCATGTCCTTCCGTGTCCTTCCGTGTCCTTCCATGTCCTTCAGTGTCCTTCCGTGTCCTTCCATGACCTTCCATGTCCTTTATTGTTCTTCTGTGTCCTTCCATGTCCTTCAGTGTCCTTCCGTGTCCTTCCATGACCTTCCATGTCCTTCATTGTTCTTCTGTGTCCCTCCATGTCCTTCAGTGTCCTTCCATGACCTTCCATGTCCTTCAGTGTCCTTCTGTGTCCCTCCATGTCCTTCAGTGTCCTTCCGTGTCCTTCCATGACCTTCCATGTCCTTCAGTGTCCTTCCATGTCCTTCAGTGTCCTTCTGTGTCCTTCCATGTCTCTCAATGTCCTTCAGTGTCCTTCCGTGTCCCTCCATGACCTTCCATGTCCATCAGTGTTCTTCCATGTCTTTCCATGTCCTTCAGTGTCCTTCCATGTCCTTAAGTGTTCTTCAGTGTCCTTCAGTGTCCTTCAGTGTGGTTTCATGCCTTTCCACGTCATATCATGTCCCTCTATGTCCTTCCATGTACTTCAGTGTCTTTCCACATCCTTCAGTGTCCTTCAATGTTTTTCAGTGTCCCTCCATGCATTTCCATGTATCCCCATTCCTCTCCATGTCGCTCCATGTTATTTCATATCTTTCATCACTTTCATCCACATCTGTCATGTCTCACCAAACAGTCTCCTTTCTGTAAGTAATCTCACTCTGATCAGTTGTTATACCATTCTAGCCATCAGTGTAACCGAGTCTGTACATGGTTTTTCATAAAGGAGATATGCTTATTTATTTGTGATTAATTTTGACTGCTGTCTCCTAATTGGTTGTGATATTTGAAAGGTGGCTCCACCCACACTGTCTCTTGTGCAGCATTTGAGCAATCTTTTTCAGATTTCTCAAGAGATGCTGTAGGACTGGAAGGAATCAAGCATTGATAATTGATTACTTTTGAGCAATCCCAGTGATATTTTTCTCATACTACTGTTACTTATGACCTTCCAGTAGTTCACTAAGTGTAGCAGGACATGGTGTCAGGCCACAGATGACATCCTTACCTTGTCATCCTGTTGACTGTGTTAACCTCTTTGTTCATGTGGAGAAGGCATCAGACTTCGGATCAGAACACTGTAATCATGGAAATAAATAAAAGACAAGGCTGTCAGTAAAAACAAATAAAAATTACTTAGAAACCTTTGAAAACAATAATATTTATCAATTTTGACAATTATTGATAAGAATTCATTTCACTTGTGAAATATGTCAAATTCTATTGTCAGTCTGCCATGTCTAATTAACTTTGTTTCAACTTCTAATGGCAGCCCAAATTCATTGACTCCTTTTAGGTGGCATGGCCAGATTGGTGTGGTAATACTTCAGTACAATTACTTTTGTCGGCAGCTCTCTATATGGGAACAGGCTTGGACTGGGAGAAGATAATGTGTGAAATTGACAAGGTCAAAGGTTGATAGTGATCCAGCCGAAGTTGGACTGAAATATTGTGAACCAGACCTTCTACATCAAACATGGCTGATAAAATATTGGAGATTTCCTGATAAAATGCAGAGTTTGTATAAGGAAGGCAAATCGTAGGGAGCCAAGTGAAATGTTATTAGTTTTCAGTGTCCATGGGGTGATTGCACATTATTCAGTATCAGGCTCATCCAAGGCTGGTAGTTAGGACGAAACAAGGATGATGAGAGATGATGTTTAAGAATGTTGCTAACATGATTCAAAGGAGACAAATTGGTTATGTTGAGTCCATGTTGTAATTATCAGCAAAGTCCATCTGTTCAGCAGTCTGGAGAAAATTGTTTTTCAATGGAACTGAATATGGCATGTTGCTGTTACATGTGCATGACCTGCCTGGACCTGGGGAGCTGGAAGTTGTGAAATGTAGCATGCTAACTAGGATGGTTTAGTTGACTGTGTGTTGTGGTTGTGTTGAATTGTGTTGGTGGTGTTGTTGACTGATGTGGTGGAGGTCTTGTTGACTGGTGGTGGTGGTGGTGTTAACTGATGTGGTGGAGGTCTTGTTGACCGGTGCTGGTGGTGTTGACTGATGTGGTGGAGGTCTTGTTGACCGGTGCTGGTGGTGTTGACTGATGTGGTGGAGGTCTTGTTGACTGGTGCTGGTGGTGTTGACTGATGTGGTGGAGGTCTTGTTGACCGATGGCAGTGGTGGTGGTGGTGTTGACTGATGTGGTGGATGTCTTGTTGACCGGTGCTGGTGGTGTTGACTGATGTGGTAGAGGTCTTGTTGACCAGTGTGGTGTTGTTGACTGATGTGGTGGAGGTCTTGTTGACTGGTGGTGGTGGTGGTGTTAACTGATGTGGTGGAGGTCTTGTTGACCGGTGCTGGTGGTGTTGACTGATGTGGTGGAGGTCTTGTTGACTGGTGGTGGTGGTGTTGTTGACTGATGTGGTGGATGTCTTGTTGACTGGTGGTGGTGGTGTTGTTGACTGATGTGGTGGATGTCTTGTTGACTGGTGCTGGTGGTGGTGGTGTTGTTGTTGACTGATGTGGTGGATGTCTTGTTGACCGGTGGCAGTGGTGGTGTTGACTGATGTGGTGGAGGTCTTGTTGACTGGTGGTGGTGGTGTTGTTGACTGATGTGGTGGAGGTCTTGTTGACTGGTGGTGGTGGTGGTGTTAACTGATGTGGTGGAGGTCTTGTTGACCGGTGCTGGTGGTGTTGACTGATGTGGTAGAGGTCTTGTTGACCGCTGGTGGTGTTGTTGTTGTTGACTGATGTGGTGGAGGTCTTGTTGACTGGTGGTGTTGTTGTTGTTGACTGATGTGGTGGAGGTCTTGTTGACTGGTGGTGTTGTTGTTGTTGACTGATGTGGTGGATGTCCTTTTGACCGATGGCAGTGCTGGTGGTTTTGACTGATGTGGTAGAGGTCTTGTTGACTGGTGGTGTTGTTGTTGTTGACTGATGTGGTGGAGGTCTTGTTGACTCGTGCTGGTGGTGGTGTTGTTGTTGTTGACTGATGTGGTGGATGTCTTGTTGACTGGTGGTGGTGGTGGTAGTGTTGTTGTTGACTGATGTGGTTGAGGTCTTGTTGACCGGTGGTGGTGGTGGTGGTGGTGTTGACTGATGTGGTGGAGGTCTTGTTGACTGGTGGTGGTGGTGGTGTTGACTGATGTGGTGGAGGTCTTGTTGACAGGTGGTGGTGGTGGTGGTGGTGTTGACTGATGTGGTGGAGGTCTTGTTGACTGGTGGTGGAGGTGGTGTTGACTGATGTGGTGGAGGACTTGTTGACCAGTGCTGGTGGTATGTGTTGAGTGCTGGTTGACCTGGTAGTGGTGTTGATGTGGTGGAGGTCTTGTTGACTGGTGGTGGTGGTGGTGGTGGTGGTAGTGTTGATTGATGTGGTGGAGGTCTTGTTGACCAGTGGTGGTGGTAGTGTTGACTGATGTGGTGGATGTCTTGTTGACTGGTGTTGACTGATGTGGTGAAGTCTTGTTGTTGGTGACTGATGTGGTGGAGGTCTTGTTGACCAGTGCTGGTGGTGACTGTGGAGGTCTTGTTGTGCTGAGTGGTGTTGACTGATGTGGTGTCTTGTTGACTTGTGCTGATGTGGTGTTGTTGGTGAGTGTGGTAGTGTTGACTGATGTGGTGGAGGTCTTGTTGACAGTGGTGACTGATGTGGTGGAGAGTGTTGACTGATGTGGTGGAGGTCTTGTTGACCGGTGGCGGTGGTGTTGACTGATGTGGTGGAGGTCTTGTTGACCGGTGGCGGTGTTGTTGACTGATGTGGTGGAGGTCTTGTTGACCGGTGCTGGTGGTAGTGTTGACAGATGTGGTGGATGCCTTGTTGACTGGTGGTGGTGGTGGTGGTGGTGGCGGTGGTGTTGACTGATGTGTTGGAGGTCTTGTGGACCGGTGCTGATGGCGATGGTGGTGGTGGTGTTGACTGATGTGGAGGTCTTGTTGACTGGTGGTGGTGGTGGTGGTGGTGGTGGTGGTGGTGTCTTGTTGACGGTGGTGGTGGTGATGTGGTGGATGTCTTGTTGACCTGGTGGTGGTAGTGGTGTTGTTGACTGATGTGGTGGATGTCTTGTTGACTGGTGCTGGTGGTGGTAGTAGTGTGTTGTTGACTGATGTGGTGGAGGTCTTGTTGACCAGTGCTGGTGGTAGTGTTGACAGATGTGGTGGAAGTCTTGTTGACTGGTGGTGGTGGTGGTGGTGTTGATTGATGTGGTGGAGGTCTTGTTGACCAGTGCTGGTGGTAGTGTTGACAGATGTGGTGGATGTCTTGTTGACTGGTGGTGGTGGTGGTGGTGGTGAGTGTTGTTGTTGACAGATGTGGTGGTGGTCTTGTTGACTGGTGCTGGTAATGGTCTTGTTGACTGATGTGTGGAGGTCTTGTTGACCAGTGCTGGTGGTGTTGACTGATGTGGTGGAGGTCTTGCTGACTGGTGGTGGTGGCATTGACTGATGTGGTGGAGGTCTTGTTGGCCAGTGCTGGTGGTAGTGTTGACAGATGTGTTGGAGGTCTTGTTGACTGGTTTGTGGTGGTGGTGGTGGTGGTGATTGATGTGGTGGAGATCTTGTTGACCGGTGCCGGTGGTGTTGACTGGGAGGATGAGTTTGTCCTACTGTTTTCCCTTGGTCATCTCTCTTTCCCTTTCACTATCATTTAATGGCCGAGTATGTCTTGATGCCATTCAGCAGCCAGCATTACAAACTTCACTTTGTAGCTTTTTTGATAGTGGCTTTGAAAGTTTCATGCAAAAACATAATGTCACCATTACTTCAACAATTTAAAAGGATTTTATTGATTTGTTTTGTTGCTGTCAAGATCCAGTTTCACCACTATAGACTACATCAAACATTGCAATATATTTGTGTTGTATCCTTTAACCTTTGACAGCCAAGAGACAAAATTCATTTTGTGAAAGGCAAGCCTTTTTAGAGATAATGCATGAACTGGTTGGATTGAATTAAAATTAAAAAAGTGTATTCAAGTTGTGTATTTAAAGATGTTGCAGCTTTGAAATAAAATGGTGATGAATCTGACTCAAAGACTGCAATGTTGATATAAAAGAATAAATGTTACAAATTGAGCTTCCCGTTGATTGACAAGTAGAAATGTACACCAATGTCATTGATCAGACCGCTCTGAAGTAGCCAGGCATGGAGCAACTTGCTAAATACTGGTTGGTGTTGCTTTAACAAGATTATGACCGTTCGGAAATCAGATCTGGGGGGATCCATTGATTGATTGACAGGGGAATTGTTTGAGTGACTTGATGGTTGGAACGGTCAGATTGCCAGACAAAATGTTTACAACGCTTTGTTTTTCAAATTAGGAAACTGTTCTTGAGGTTTTCTTGGCAGGGAGACAGTCTTACGATACTGGAATTGATCTTGTTTGAGTTTCGTGTTTGATCGGGGACCTTGGACCTCCAAAGAACACTCTTAAATTCTTGGAAATTATGCAAGTATGGTCTTTGCACTGTTAAGAAATGACAGCAAAAAAAATAACGATTGAATGTGACCTTCAATGAGCTGCTTCCCTACCATTTTCTTGGTTTATTGAATGTTTTCCCACATTGATGAGCTGTTAAAGAAATGGATAATCTATATTATTTTACATATTGACACAAAGTTTTCTAATACCAACAGAATCAGTTCTACTGGAGGATGGGCATGTACTGTGGTCTACAGGTCTGAAAAATTATGACCTTGCAGGTAGGTGCAGTGTTCTTTTTTTACTGCGATTCTAATTTTGCTGATGTTGGATTCTGAAACAAAATAGTGAGTGAGTTTAGTTTTACGCCACTTGTAGCAATAGTCCAGCAATGTGAATGCGGGGAGCACCAGAAATGGGCTTCTGACAGTGATGAGCAAATGCTTTAACCACCAGGTTATCCCACCGCCCCAAAACAAAGTGGGTTTCCTGTACCTCCAATAGTACCTCATGCTTGTCATACGCTTACTAGCTTGAATGAAATTATCATATGACATGACTAACTTAGCCTAAATTGATGCAATGTACTATCAAGCAAAAGAACAATATAAGGAACCCTTATGGGCTATGGACACATAAAATATATGATACAAGGCTACATGAATAATTTACAAGCAGGTTTTGTATAGGGATGCCTCACACAGCCTTGCAGCTACAGTGGCTCCCATAGGTGTAGTAGAGATAATAGCATTTAACATAAAGTATAATAAGCCATAAGGTGAGGATGAAAAGGTGCAAATTTTCACTGTCAGTCACCAGCAGTGACAACAGCAGCAAAGTCCTGCCAATATTCTGATTGGCTAATAACCATGATAAGGTGTCATGTGACCCCAAGGACGATCCCATCTAAAACACCCATTCAAAGTCACCTTATATTATGTTGACCACAATAAGTGGGTTAAATTTTGCAAAAAGAAATTGCAAATGATACCTTACAGACATTTTTCTAAGTATGGTTCATATAATGGACTCAAATATTTCTGATGCTTTTAGAAGGGTTTTTGACGTTTTATATTTGGTCACAGTGCCTTGCTGGCTTGACTGGTTCTTGGGGAAATGTGTCATGTTGGCTTGTATACATACTCTGTCTGATCAGCATGTATTTGTGTGACCAGTTACCCACTGCCATATGCTTTTGATAAGGAAGAGGATTGGGTGGTCAGTATGGCTGCTAAGTGTGGACAGTATTTCAAGATCTGGACAAACCAGAAATGTGGCATGGCTGAATCATCAGCATGGTGGTGGTGTGATCTGGCCAGGCCAGGCCAATATATTGGTTCTACTGCATTTGACCTGTAAAGATCCAGGTTGGAATTGATCTTCAGTTACCAATGTTTGTCGTAAGAGGCGACTAACAGGATCGGGTGGTCAGGCTCCCTGACTTGGTTTACACATGTCATCGTATACCAATTGCGTAGATCGATGCTCATGCTGTTGATCACTGGATTGTCTGGACAAGATTCAATTATTTACAGATGGCCGCCATATAGCTGGAATATTGCTGAATGTGGCGTAAAACTCACTCACTCACTCTACTGCATTTCTTGTGCAATGTAGAAGTGGCAAGCAATGCCTGAATATCTGAGTGTCAGTCAACAACATTATCTCAGTGTGTCAGGTGCTGCTGTATGATTTATATAGATATATAATTTATTAGTTGTTTTGATGTAGCTTTGTGGTCAAGGGCCCTGTTTCACAAAGTGTTCTCAGTACTAAGATGTCACCTGTTGGTTTACAACAATTGTAGCACTAAGATCTCTTTGTGGAACAGAGCCAATCATGTGTTGTCAATGAATCTTAGGAGACTTAGCTACAATTGCCTTATTACACTGTGTTTCTTTAGCACTGAGGCAACTCTAACACTCACACTGTAACATACACTAAAGACCATCTCAGCACTAAAACTGCTATGCAGAACATCTCCTGGGCCAATCCCAAAACTTCTGAAAGTGTTGTTTGTAGTCTGTGGCCAAAAGAAGTATATGCAGTTGTTGGAATACCAGGCTCTTATTGCTAGAAGTGAGTGAGTGAGTGAGTGAGTGAGTGAGTGAGCCACTTTACGCTGTTTATAGCAATATTCCAGCAATGCTTTATCCCAACAATTATACCACTCTCCTATATCTTCACCCTACCCCTAGTCTGTCTCACAGTCCATGAACATATTATTTTTCCTCCCGCCCAGTCCTTTCTTTATGGCACAATCCCTCAATGAAGCAAGTCTGGAATTTCCTCAGGTTCTGATCCCCCATCCCCTTTTCATATCAAATAGAATTATTTGTTTCTATCACAATTATGTAGTTTTAGAGTCAGTGAGTTAGTGAGTATGGTTATTCACTGCTTTTTGCTTTTATTCCATCAATATCGCAGCAGGGGACACCAGAAAGGGGCTTCACACATTGTACCCATGTGGGGAATCGGACCTGATCTTTGACATGATGAGTGAATGATTTAACCACTAGTCTACCCCACTGCCCTTGTTGCTAGAAAACTGTGTTAGTGATATGACTGTAATGGACTTTTATCATGAACTTTTAACACAGCTTGAAGGTTGTCATGAGCGGAAAACAGGACTTTGTAGAACGGATGACAACACACAAACTGGTGATGTCTTAGGGATCTCAGGAAGTAGAGATTAAATATTCATAGAGTTACTCAACCCAGCTCCACATGTAGAGAACATGCCTTCCAGCTGATCTCATCCCATATTGGAACACTTTCTTCTGTACAGTACTTCATGGTAGTGCTAGAAACATGGCTGTTAAAGAGAGACCAAATTCAAAACCAGATTCAAGTCTGAGTTAATTTCATTAAAAAGATAACTGCCTACTGACTCAAATTTTGAGATATACTGGTATAAAAGCTGATGTATATCTATTATTATACAGAGAAAATGTCTTTATACATGACATTTAAGACAATGTCTTTGCCTGTACAGAATGAACACTAGACCTTGGTGTCTGGATGTATCTTGTATCCCTTTAATAGCCAGTCACAGTGTGTAGAAAATATCATGCTCTCTCGTCTCTTGCAGAAAAACACGACTCCCTTGGATATTTGTCTGGATTCGCAGAATTTGTTTTCGACAAATATTTTGGAAAAACAATGATTGGTCAACAGAGCTGTATCACTGTTGAAAACAGTGCCTTTAAGATTTTTTTTCAATTGATTCAATCATAGAAGGCCAAGAATCATTGATTTTATTTGGAGTGCTGATGTAATCCAGAGCTTGAACAATAGGCTACAAAGTAGATAAACTCAAAATAAGGTCAGTGATGTCATGTTTTGTTGGAAAAATCAATACTTTATGCTTGATCTCACTTGCAACTTGAGTCATAATTTTTTTAAGTATTGTAAAACTTCATGTGCAAGAGAAACACCAGTAATTTCATTTACTCACTCTGAGTATTGTGATTCTTTTGAGTTATCAAGGGTCAGTTCTGTCAATACTTCCTTAAAAGTCTTTTGGAAGGGTTCAGTGCTTGGTGTATGGAAGCGTCAGTTTGCATATATCATGAACATGTCCAAATGAAATTATTAACATAGATTCCATACAGTCATCATTCTTGTACATTTTAACAAATTGGCTTAGACATGTATGACGGTGTGTGTAGAATATTGGATGGACATCTGAGGTAGCTTGTTCTGTTAAAAGATAGATGTTGATTTTATCAAAAGTGGTGTGACTTTTTTATGTTTTAAATAATAACTTGGATTTGCAAACTATGTTTCCAGTGGTATCAGCTATATATGTTTTAAGATATATACCTCAATCGTCTCCTCACGATATAGTCCATAAATAAATACATGTAATTTAAGCTGTTTGGTTTCTTTAAGTCTTATAAAGCAGTTTAGGTTATATGATCTGAAAACCTTTGTGGAGTGATTTCATATATCAATTTAAAAAAACCAAAACAATATGTAGGTCAAATTCTATAGAATCTGTTTGATTTACATTCTTGAAGTTGGAGAGTTAGTAAGAAACTAAGCACTGGTTTATTTCATATCATTTTGATGTAGACTTTTACACCATGATCAGGCTGGCATGATGAGACATGGGCTTAGATTCAGTGCAACTGTGTAGACTATTAGTGAATGAGTGCATGAGATGGGTTAACATCCATCGGAATGACACCATTCTGTCCTGTCATGTCTATGATGATAGCTAACCGTGATGCAAGTCTTCAATGAAACCCATTATGGCCCTATTCCACACAAACCACGAATCGCCACGATTTGACATATTTGAGGATTCATAGTTGAATCGTAATCAGTTCGTGAAGTTCTTAAATAATTCGTATATACTCGTAGTTAGTTCTTGCAATTCCTGAGCAAATCGGGAATTCGTGGCAAAGGTTTTGAACTGTTCAAAATTTTGGCCACGAACTCCCGATTAAAAAAAATCGTAGTTACTTCGTAACAAATTCGTAGTGCATTCTTAGGCATCGTAACGGAATCGTAATCGATTCTCAGGCAGTTGTAGGTATTCTTAACTCATTCGTGGATTCGTCAACTTGTGACTTGACCACGAATCGGCTACAAATCTGTCACGAATTCCACAAATACACGCAAAAGCAGGTATGAAGCAAGTGAGAACTATCTACGAATCACCTACGATTGGCGGAAAATTGGGTATATAAGGAGTTTAACATTGACTTCAGGCCATTAGCTGCTGACGATTGTGCAACGACATCCACAAATCAGCAAGATGCCTAGAAGAGCTGTAGGCAAGGACAAGGGGAGAGGGAAGAGAAGCAACAGAAATAAGGAAGAGGGAGAAAAAGGCAGCAAACCTCCCACCCACCCCTCCAACTTCCCAAGAGTAACTACCCCTCCACCTGCAGATGAACGAGCTCCAGAAGTGGTTTAACATGTGGCTGGTGATGTTGCTTCTTCCCAGTCCAAGAGCAAGAAGACCAGGGTCTTGTCCAACCTCACAGAAAACGAACAAGAGGATGTGACCCTCTTCCTTGAGAGGAATGACTACAACAAGAGGCGGTTAGACCACCTCTGTGTCTCTAAAAAGAATAAGGCGTGGGACGATCTGGCCCATTATATGGGAAAGCAGGTGACGGCACTGACTACATCTTTTGAGAGCATCCATTCCCAGATAGGGAAACTCAGGAGGAAGAACAGTGGGCAGGCAGCTGTGGAGATGACAACCGCCAACGGTGAACATGGACCAGATTCCAGGTCCTGATGCCTCACATTGGACATGTCACCCACTGCAGTCCAGAGCTTCCCGGAGAAGCGCCAACGCTAGCCAGGGTGAGGAGTTCTGGGAAGAGGAGCCTTAGTGTCCAGTGACCACCACACCGTCCACAACCACTCCCGGGAGCTCGTCTGTGATGGTGTATGGCACCAGGGACGCCAGAGGTAGCTAAGTGATGGGGGTCGAAACCCTATACCAGGAGCTGCACACCTACAAGGACCACCAGGAGAAGCTGTTACAGATTCTGCAAGATCCTGCTGTGCCTGAAATACCCCACCCAGAGAAGTTAAATTTCACAGAGTACCACGGGCATGCTTCCAGAAACTGCCTGAGTTGTGTGGTTTTCAGATAGCTATGTGCTTGCCATTGAAGGCCCCCTGGGCATGAGGAACATTCCACCGATATTGGAACTGCTGGACAATGGCCTTCCAGTCCTCCTGGGTCTGGGGCTTTGGCATGACTTCATCCTTCAGTTCCTGTATGATGGCCTTACAGACAATCTCACAATCCATACCACTGTGCTGAAACCACATCGGAAGTCATACTGGATAGTGTGACACCGGTCTCCTGTAGCCAGGTATCTGAGGACTGGTTTCACGTGGGTGTCTCTCCTTTGGATGACTGGGCTAATCCCTTTGAGTAGCTCATCAAACATGTGGAGTGGCATTCTCACATAGTTGGCAAAGGCTTTTTCATCTTCCCCCCTCATTTCCTGCATCAGTCAGTTGTAGTTACCATGTTCTTGCCTTCTACCTAGTGTCAGCCTAACCCACCACCTGGGTGCTCTTCTCCTCCTTCTTCAAAGCAGTCTTCTTCAAGCGATCAGCGGCTGGTGTTGATACTCCAGTTTGGAACTGATACCCAAACAGAGGTTATGGCCTTTTATACCAATCTCCCATGAATTATTAAAGAATAGTCACGAATTCATTTATTCATACTTGACTCGTACATGGATTCAGCGTATTCTTAACTGATTCCTAACATTCGTGCAGTACTCATAATAGATTCTTGTAAATCGTTGTGAATTCTTGACAATATCCGTGCGATTCCAGCCGAATCCCACGAATATTCGTACCTTTATTGTAACTGAATCGTAGAGCTTCCTGAATTGAGCTAGAACATGTGCACATTTCCACAAATTCTCACGAATCCTCAAATTTATCAATTCATGGCGATTCGTGGTCTGTGTGGAATAGGGGCATTAGGTGTCCTACTGACAGACCAAGTGTTGTCATGGAAACAGAAGCTAAGCAGATCCTGCAGAACTCTGCCAAGCAAATTGTTGTTTCCTTACTGCTGCTCTGTCTTAGGTTTTGTTTGTTTGTTTGTTTGTTTGGTTGGTTGGTTGGTTGGTTGGTTGGTTGGTTGGTTGGTTGTAGTGAGTGAGTGAGTGAGTGAGTGAGTGAGTGAGTGAGTGAGTTGGGCCTTATATCATTTAAGCAATATTCCATCCAAATCACTCAGAACTCTTTCTCACATTGACCACATTATACCCATACCAACATCTTATAATTATATTGACACGTAAACACTTTAACCACAAACATACTCACCCTTCCTCTGAAGACCTGATTTTACTTCCATGGAATTATACAGGACCTTCAACCTTTAAGACTGAAATTAATGAATTATTATCTTTCCTGAAATGCTAACAGCCCGGTTATGACGGAGTTCAAACACAGGCTGTGTCCTGTTTAGTGTAGGCAGTATTCTCTCGACACTTCTGTGGACATATCTCGTCAATTTCGCCAGCAGTAATCAGCGATGCACCTGAGACAAGGCTTAATGTTATGTATATGTCCAATCATAACATCATTAGCATGGTATAGTGGCCACATGGCCTTGACAAAAAGCATTAATCAGCGTCTTGAAAACAACACACATAGCTCTAAGGGCTTCTACGATGTTTTGACATCACTTTGATATTTTTGGTGGGTGTCGACTGGATCGTTTGGCTTGAAGCTGTTCTTGCAATTATCAGTTATGTCATTATTAGATGTTATACATTTCATGCATGGGAGATCATAAGATGTTGATTGCGCTTTGTGAATGGTGTCTTAAATGTGGAGCTTTCTTGCATTGAAATGATCAATAAGAAGTTTTTGTATTCTGAAGGAAAGATATCATGATGAAAAGTGATATTTCAAAAATGATTCATTTCCTGACATTTAATGTTTACTGCTTTTTAAGTGTATATTATTATAGACATGCTGTTTATTGATATTGAACCCTGAATAAAAGGTTTTAATATTTAAAATAAACTTAAAGGTGTTTGAATGTGGATTATCCAGAAACTATTGTTCTGGAAATTTAGACAAATGCCATAAGAGTGACTGGCCAAGTGGTTCAAGTGCTTACTGGTCAAATGATGTGTGAGTTTGGTTCTGCACATGGTACTCTGTGAAGCCAATTTGTGATTTTCTCTGGTGTCTTATAGTTAAACTTATAACCAATCTTCTTCTGGTAACGCTTAGAACTTCATTAATAAATATTGTACTTTTGTCCCGATATCCAGTGTTTTTAGATC